GAGGGAGGATTCGAAAGTGATTGATTTATAGGTCTTAACTTCTGCCTACCCTAGACTGCATCCAATCACATGGTGCATCTATTCAACCTGATTTACACGCGTCCAATCACATGGTGCATCTAATCAACCTGATTTACACGCGTCCAATCATCCTACGCGTCTAATCATCTCTGAGGTAATTACCGATGTAAAAACTATCTCGTAAGAACTACGCGCTAGGTTCGGATTGTACCGGTAACCCTCAATACGCCCCCTCAATCCGAACACGCACGGATGCCAAGCGCCGCCGTCAAGTCCTTGTGACGCGGTCCGTGAAGTCCCTTCGTCATGATGTCCGCCAACATCAACGTCGTCTCGCAGTATTCAAGCTTCACTTCGCCGCGCTTGACTTCATCACGGATGTGATGGTACTTGATGTCGATGTGTTTAGCGCGGCCGTGGTTGACCGGATTCTTCGTCATCTTGATGCACGACTGGTTGTCTTCACGGATGACGAGCTCGGGTCCTTCTTCGTTTGCAGCCGCCATGATCTCGCACAGCAAGCGATTGATCCACTTGCCTTCTTGGATCGCCAGGCTGAGCGCGATGTACTCCGCTTCGCTTGTAGACAGTGACACACTTGGCTGTTTCTTGCTGCCCCAACTCACCGGAGCACCCAATAGCATGAAGACGTAGCCGGACGTCGATTTGCGATCAGCAAGGTCACCGGCCCAGTCTGCATCTGAATAGCCACAGACAATAGTCGATCTTCGCACTTGGCTTGTAGCAGATTCCATGCATCTTGGTGCCTTGTAGGTAGCGGAAGATGCGCTTGACTGCAACCCAGTGTTCTTCTTGGGGCTTCTCCATGAACCGTGACACAAAGCTTACAGCATAGGCGATGTCCGGTCGCGTTGCAGTCGTCAGATGCATCAAAGCACCCACTGCTTCACGGAATAGGACATCCACCTTGCTTGCAGAGTTGCTCGGAACCAGTCGAGAGCTGACGTCTACCGGACTTGCCACAGCCTTGCACTCATCCATTCCAAAGCGCTTGAGGACATCGTCGACATAACGGCGCTGACACATAGTCACGCTACCATCTTCACCGTCCAATAACTCGATCCCAAGAACAAAGGCACACTTACCGCTGTCCGTCATCTCGAAGCGTGTCTTGAGGTCGTTCTTGGTGCGCGCAATCATCTCGAGCGAGCTTCCAGTCACCAAGACATCGTCCACGTAGACCAGCACAAAAACACAATGGCCTTCCGAAGTCATGATGTAGAGACATGGATCGAATCCCGACGCTTGAAAACCAATCGAGCGTATGAACTCGTCGAAGGTCTCGTTCCAAACACGCGAGGCTTGCTTGAGACCGTAGATCGCCTTGATCAGCTCGAGACAGTCAAAATCGCCTTCCATCTTGACGCCTTCCGGAACAGCGCAGAACACCTTCTCCTTCATCACTCCATACAGGAACGCAGTCACCACATCGAGCTGGTCGAGGGGCCATCCAAAGTGCTTGGTAATGGCGATGACCATTCGCAGCGTCACATACTTGACCACGGGCGAGAACGTCTCCGTGTAGTCGATGCCATACTTTTGGCGAAAACCCTTGGCCACAAGTCGTGCCTTGTATTTCTCGATCGACCCATCCGCCTTGCGCTTGATCTTGAAGACCCACTTTGTGCCAATGGCGCTTTGTCCGTTGGGTAACTTGGCCGCACGAAAGACACCGCGAAGCTTCATCGAATCGAGCTCCGCATCAATTGCCTTGCGCCAGTGTACTTGGTCCGGGCCAGACACTGCTTCTTCAAATGTCGACGGCTCCGAAAAATCGACCGCTGCTTCGACGGCGTTTGCACTCGCATGCCAAAACGCGGAGGAAGTCGGTGTGTCATGTTGTTCCTCCGACTTCCTTTCTTCATCTTCGTTGGCTCGACGTGAAGAGATGTCATCCGGCGCACTTGACTCTTCCAATCCGGGTCGTTGGCGCACTGCTCGGGGCATGCTTGCGTCGTCATTGTCGTGACTGGGTTGGGCCTTGCGCTTTCCTGTTTGTTTGAAGTGTCTCGGACGCGGTTCTTCATCATCAAGATCGATCGATTCGAAGTCCAGGCCATCAACATCGTCATCGGAAATCAGCATCGACATTCCAAAGGCCGACTCATCGAAGTTGACATCGCGACTTATCATCACCTGTCCCGCTTCAATGTCAAATACACGATATGCCTTGGACACTTCTTCGTAGCCCAAAAACAATCCAGTCCGGGCCTTGGAATCCCACTTGAGTCGTTTCTCCTTCGGGGTCAAGATGTATGCTTGGCACCCAAAAACGCGCATGTGCTTGACACTTGGCTTAGAATTGTAGACAATCTCGAACGGTGTCTTGTGTGGAATCTTGGGTGACGGCAAACGGTTCTTCACATAGACGGCCGTCATTGCCGCTTCACCCCAGAAACACTTGTTCAGCTTGGCATAATGTAGCATGCTACGACCGATGGTGACGATAGTTCGAATCGCGCGTTCAGCAGTTCCATTGGCTTGATGTGCGTATGGCACCGTGGTTTGTTGCTCGATGCCTTCGACTTCGTAGAAATCTTGAAGCGAGTTCGTCGCAAACTCGCGGGCTCCATCGTGTCGCACAAATTTGACTTTCTTGTTGAACTGCGTCTGTATCATCGTGATGTACTTCTTGATGCACTCTTCGCTCTCTGACTTGGAATGCAGACAAAAACCCTTCATGCATCCGCTGACTTCATCCACGATCAGCAGCAGATACTTGCTGCCACCCAGAGATTTTTCTTCCATGGGTCCGCAGATGTCGAAGTGGAGCATCTCGAAGGTGTTGTAGGTGCGCTTGTCACGGTTGCTCGGGAATGGTTTTTGGACCATCTTCCCTTCTTGGCATCCTCGACACACACTTGATCCATTCGGCTTGGAAGGGATGTGAGCGTCCTTGATCATGTGGCTTGTCACCATCCTGCGAAGTACGTCGACTGGAGCATGGCCCATTCGCGCATGTAGATCAACAGCGTTGCTGAGTGATGTCGCATTGGCCGATCTCTGCGTCGTGCGAAGCCAGTAGAGTCCGTCTACAAGATCCGCAGCTGCCACCACTTGGTTGGAATCCTTGCGAGCGACGTACATCGTATCCCCGTCAAACACCACTTGGAAGTTGCCGTGCTTGTTAATCTGCGGCACCGAGAGCAGATTTTTGCTCATGCTGGGCACATAGAGCGCGTTCTTGATCTCGATCTCGCGCTCTTCCCCGTTTGGCAGAATCACCTTTTCCACGATGGTCCCCACACCTTTGATGGCCGCCTTGTTGCCATCAGCCACCAGGATCTCGCCATCATTGCCTTCGACCAAGCTTGCAAACTTGAACTTGTCGTGGCAGATGTGATGTGTTGCCTTGCTGTCAACGGCCCACATTCCTGGTCCATTCTTGTTCGTCGAAACTCCGCATTCGAACGAAACTGCAAACGCCACTCGATCGTAGCTGTTGCCTTCATCATAATGTCGCCACTGGACATTGTTTGCCCCGCGTCCACGACCATTGCCGCCGCGTTGGGCTCCTCGACTTTCATCCTTTTGCTTCGTCCAGCAACGCTCTGCCGTGTGCCCCACCTTGCCGCAGTATGTGCATTGGTAGGGCTTGCGCTCGGTACTGAATGCCTTTGTCGCATCTTCAGTCTTCACCGTTGTCGTTGCCGTTGTCATCTTCTCGCCTTGTCGCTTGATGTGCTCGTTAGTCAGCACCTTGACCACATCTTGCGTGCGCAGCTCTGCATTGCTCATCTCCAAGTTCAGAACCACGTTCTCGAAACTCTTCGGGAGACTGAGCAGCAAGCAGATCGCAATGTCTTCGTCTTCCATCTTGGCACCGATGCTGCTGAGCTTGGCGCCGATGTTCAAGACTTCGTTGCAATGGTGCAAGACGTTGGCACCTTCCGCCATCTTGATGCTGAACAGCTGGCGCTTGAGGTAGATGCGTCCCGCCTTCTGCGACCCACCATAGAGCATCTTCAACCGCGACCACGCTGTCCATGCTTCTTCACAGTTGTCGACCACATGGTGGTAGTCGGCGTCCATGTGGAGCAACATCAACCCGAACGCGATGTTGCTCGCCTTGACGTACTCGTCGGAAGCTCGCGTGTCGGTGAAGGTTGGAGACGTTTCGCGGTTCACGACGTACCAGACTGACTTCGTCAGAAACACGCCGCGCATGTAGCGACACCAGGTTGAGTAGTTGTCCCCATCGAACTTATCGATGGAGACACTGGCCGAGGTGTTGTTGGACGACATGGCGCTTGGGCTCATAACCTGTTGTGACTTGAGCGCGAGGCGAAGAGAAAACGAAGCGGAGAGACCGGAGAGAACGAAGCAGAGAACACTTGCTCACTTGAGGGAGGATTCGAAAGTGATTGATTTATAGGTCTTAACTTCTGTCTACCCTATACTGCATCCAATCACATGGTGCATCTAATTGTTGACGGTCATCGGTTTCTACCAGTATTGGTAAACGTGACCGGTCCAATCCGAACCGCCTGTTCAGCTTAGTATTTACGACGTAGTTCTTACGGTAATTACCATAGTTGATTAGACGCGTAGGATGATGAGACGCTTCACATGATTTATATGTGCACCACATATAAATCATGTAGTAAGTAGTAAGCCCCGATAATCAATCACTTTCCAGTCTTCCATCTACCCCCCAAGTGTCTTCTCCGGTCTTCCGAGTAGACTCCCAGCATCACTCCCAGTTTCGGTCGTCAAGCTTTTCACCAATCAACAGGTTATGAGCCCAAGCACGATGTCCTCTGCTCATGATGCCACCACCAAGATCTCCATCGACAAGTTCGACGGCGACAACTACGCGACGTGGAGCCGCTACATGCGTGGCGTGTTCCTGACCAAGTCGGCGTGGCACGTGGTGAACCGGGAGACCACCCCCCACCTTCGCCGATCCTCGCGCCAGTGACGACTACATTAAGACGAACAACATTGCGTTCGGCTTAATGCTGCTGCACATGAGCGCGGATTATCATCACGTGGTTGATGATTGTGAGGAAGCATGGGTTGCGTGGGCGTGGATCAAGACACTGTACGGCGGATCTCAGAAGGCTGGGCGCATCTACTTGAAGCGCCAGCTCTTCAGTATGGAGATGGCGGAAGGCGGCAATGTGTTGCATCATTGCAATGAGGTCCTCAACATCAGCGCAAAGCTGGCTAGTATCGGCGCCAAGATGTAGGACGAGGACGTTGCGATCTGCTTACTGCGCAGTCTGCCCAAGAGTTTCGAGAACGTGGTTCTCAACTTGGAGATGAGCAGCGCAGAGCTTCGATCGCGGGACGTCGTGAAAGTGCTCACAAACGAGCATATCAAGAGACAAGGTGACAAGACGACATCGGTGAAGACTGAAGACGCGGCCAAGGCGTTCAGTGCCGAGCGTGAACCTCGCCAGTGTACATACTGCGGCAAATTGGGGCACACGGCGGAGCGGTGCTGGACCAAGCAGAAGGACGAAAATCAAGGTGGAGCTCGACGCGGCGGCAACAATGCTCGTGGACGCGGAACCAACAACGTTCAGTGGCGAACCAACAGCAACTACGATGACAACTACGATCGAGTTGCGTTCGCGGTTTCGCTGGAGGCTGGATTTTCGACGGGCAAGAATATGCCAAGGATGTGGGCGGTCGACAGCGGTGCGACGCATCACATCTGCAACGACAAGGCCAAGTTTGCAAGCCTGAATGAGCGAGAGGAAGGCGAACTATCAGTGGCTGATGGCAGCAAGGCTGCGATCAAGGGTGTGGGAACCATCATGGAACGGGTGGTTCTGCCCAATGGTGACGAACGCGACATCGAGATCAAGGACGCACTGTTCGTACCAAGTATGAGCAAGAATCTGCTTTCGGTGCCACAGATCAACAAGGGTGGCAGGTTCCAAGTCGTGTTCGATGGATCCAAGATGCAAGTGAAGCGCAAGAATTCCACACTAGTCGTGGCAACAGCGGATCTCGTCGATGGACTTTACTGGCTGCGGACTCCCCAACGATCGGCAAATGCAGCAACACGCAATGGCATTATCGACTTGCATGCGCGCATGGGTCATGCACCCCTCGAAGTTCTGCGCAAGATGGTGGCCACTGGCATGATCAAGGACGCCAAGGCACCTCTCAACTCGACTGGTCCAAGTATGTGTCGCGGTTGCCAGCAAGGAAAGATGGTCCAAAAACCATTCCCAACCAACCGTGACAAACGCCAATATGGTGTGTTCGAGTTGCTGCACTTCGACATCTGCGGGCCAATGGAACAAGTCTCGATCGGCGGCAGCAGATACTTACTGCTTGTGGTTGACGAAGCTAGCGGTTGCATGAAGGGCTTCTGTCTGCGGTCCAAGTCTGAGAGTGAAGACTGTATCAAGAACCACATCATCAAGATTCAAACTCAGTTCGGCACGAAGATCAAGTTTGTTCGGCACGATGGAGCGCATGAGTTTGCGACCAACTCCATCAAGACCTTCTACGAAGATCATGGTATCGAACAACAGATCACGGTGCCGTATGCACACCAGACCAACGGCACCGCAGAACGCGCGATAAGGACCATCGTCACGATCGGACGCAGCTTGTTGCATCATGCAAAACTGGAGAAGTGTTTCTGGGCTGAAGCGGCAATGACGGCGATCTACATCAAGAACCGCCTGCCTTCACCCAAGATCGACCACAAGACTCCGTTCGAGATCGTGTACAAGTCGAAACCAAGTGTCAAGCACATGCGCGTGTTTGGATGTCGGACGTTTATCCTGACACCAAGGGAGAAGCGATTGAAGTGGGACCCGAAGGCTCGTGAAGGGATGTTCATGGGCTACGAAGAAGCGTCAAAAGCTTATCGAGTGTACGACATTGAGGCGGGCCAAGTGGTGATCAGTCGTGACATCACCTTCGACGAATCGACTTTTGATTTTTCGATGGACCGACCAAGTGACGATGATGAAGATGCGGAGTTGGACCTCGACCTCCTGGCGATCAACGAGGACGACGTGCGTCAAACCGTCTACAAGCAGACTGGCAAGCGCAAGAGTGAAGCAAGACCCGGCATGTCACGTCCAGCTCGCCCTCGAACTGGGTTGGAACAAGCAAGTGCACCGGCACACGTCTCCAACCGTCACCAGAAACGACGATCAAGTGCTCCAGAAACGATGTCTGATGACGACCGAAGATGCAAGCGTCTACGATCAAGATGACGACTCGACGCCTCCAACATTTTGGCGTGCAAGTGCAAACGCAGTGGAAGCAACGGACCTAGCAGAATCTGTGACTTTTCAAGATGCGATCAATGGTCCTGATCAAGCTCACTGGCAAAATGCTGTGAAGGCGGAACTCAAGTCGATGCATCTTCGTGGAGTTTTCCGTGCGGCAAAACTGCCAAGAGGCCAAGGCGCGATCGGCACCAAGTGGGTGTTCAAGATCAAGCGCAAAGCGGATGGATCGGTCGAGAAATACAAGGCGCATCTCGTTGCCAAGGGCTTCAAGCAGAAGTACGGCATCGACTACACAGAGACGTTCTCGCCCGTGGTCAAGTACGTGACACTGCGTATGGTGATCGCGATCACCAAGTATTTCGACTGGCCACTGGACCAACTCGATGTGGTGACAGCCTTTCTCTACGGAGCGATGAAGGAGAAGGTGTACTGCGTGATACCAGAAGGCGTCGAGATGGATGGCGACTTCGACTGTCTCGAGTTGGTGAAGGCGATCTACGGTCTCAAGCAAGCTTCACGTGTGTGGAACGAGACTTTCGACGAGTTCGTATGCTCCATCGGTTTTGAAGCGTCGGCGTTCGACCCATGTCTCTACATCAAGATTGTCGACGGTCACTGTGTGCTCGTGCTGGTCTACGTGGATGACGTGTTGGTCACCGGCAGCTCGCTCGAGTTGATTGCGCAGACGAAGGCCGACCTCAAGACGCGTTTCGAGATGACCGACAGTGGCAAGTGTACTTTTGTACTGGGCATCGAACTGGTGGACGAATCGGATGGCAGCGTGACGATGTGCCAGCGACGGTATGTCAACGACATCCTCAAGCACTTCGGCATGGATGAGTGCAAGGCCACAGCAAGTCCGGTCGACTTGAGCACTCGGCTTGTCGCAAGCACCGAAGCGGCCAAGATCGACGTTCCGTTTCGTGAAGCTGTGGGAGCTTTGATGCACTTGACGACTGCGACGCGCCCGGACATTACGTATGCTGTGGGGTACGTCTCGCGCTTCATGGAGAATCCGCAGCAAGAACACTGGGTTGCAGTTAAGCGCATCTTTCGTTACTTGCAAGGGACCAAGTCGCACGGACTCCGCTTCCAGCCAAGCGACAAGATCGACTTTCGTGGCTACTCGGACGCGGACTGGGCCGGCGACCACGCTGATCGCAAGTCGACTTCGGGTTACACTTTCATGCTGATGGGTGCTCCTGTGAGTTGGGGAAGCAAGAAGCAGTCAAGTGTGTCGCTGTCGACGAGTGAAGCGGAATACATCGCACTGAGTCTGGCCATCCAGGAAGGCAAGTGGGTGCATCGCCTGCTATGCGAGATTTTGGCGGCCGCAAACGAACCAGGACCGGACCTCGTCATCCGTGAAGACAACCAGTCGTGCATCAAGATGACGAAGAATCCGGTGAATCATGGCCGCGCCAAGCACATCGACATCAAGTACCATCACATCCGTGATGAGGTCAAGCGCGGGGAAGTGCAGCTCGAGTATTGCGAGACTTCCGTGATGATGGCGGACATCATGACCAAGGGACTTTCGGGACCTCGTCACAAGGACTTGACGACGGCTCTCGGCATTCGTGCGAGTTCGGATTGAGGTAGCGTGTTGACGGTCATCGGTTTCTACCAGTATTGGTAAACGTGACCGGTCCAATCCGAACCGCCTGTTCAGCTTGGTATTTACAACGTAGTTCTTACGGTAATTACCATAGTTGATTAGACGCGTAGGATGATGAGACGCTTCACATGATTTATATGTGCACCACATATAAATCATGTAGTAAGTAGTAAGCCCCGATAATCAATCACTTTCCAATCTTCCATCTACCCCCCAAGTGTCTTCTCCGGTCTTCCGAGTAGACTCCCAGCATCACTCCCAGTTTCGGTCGTCAAGCTTTTCACCAATCAACACTAATCAACCTGATTTACACGCGTCCAATCATCCTACGCATCTAATCATCTCTGAGGTAATTACCGATGTAAAAACTATCTCGTAAGAACTACGCGCTAGGTTCGGATTGTACCGGTAACCCTCAATAGATTAGATGCACCATGTGATTGGATGCAGTCTAGGGTAGGCAGAAGTTAAGAACTATAAATCAATCACTTTCGAATCCTCCCTCAAGTGAGCAAGTGTTCTCTGCTTCGTTCTCTCCGGTCTCTCCGCTTCGTTTTCTCTTCGCCTCGCGCTCAAGTCACAACAGGTTATGAGCCCAAGCGCCATGTCGTCCAACAACACCTCGGCCAGTGTCTCCATCGATAAGTTCGATGGGGACAACTACTCAACCTGGTGTCGCTACATGCGCGGCGTGTTTCTGACGAAGTCAGTCTGGTACGTCGTGAACCGCGAAACGTCTCCAACCTTCACCGACACGCGAGCTTCCGACGAGTACGTCAAGGCGAGCAACATCGCGTTCGGGTTGATGTTGCTCCACATGGACGCCGACTACCACCATGTGGTCGACAACTGTGAAGAAGCATGGACAGCGTGGTCGCGGTTGAAGATGCTCTATGGTGGGTCGCAGAAGGCGGGACGCATCTACCTCAAGCGCCAGCTGTTCAGCATCAAGATGGCGGAAGGTGCCAACGTCTTGCACCATTGCAACGAAGTCTTGAACATCGGCGCCAAGCTCAGCAGCATCGGTGCCAAGATGGAAGACGAAGACGTTGCGATCTGCTTACTGCGCAGTCTGCCCAATAGTTTCGAGAACGTGGTTCTCAACTTGGAGATGAGCAATGCAGAGCTGCGCACGCAAGATGTGGTCAAGGTGCTGACTAACGAGCACATCAAGCGACAAGGCGAGAAGATGACAACGGCAACGACAACGGTGAAGACTGAAGATGCGACAAAGGCATTCAGTACCGAGCGCAAGCCCTACCAGTGCACATACTGCGGCAAGGTGGGGCACACGGCAGAGCGTCGCTGGACGAAGCAAAAGGATGAAAGTCGAGGAGCCCAACGCGGCGGCAATGGTCGTGGACGC